AAGATGATGATTGCTGCCCCTAAACCTCAAAACCCTTTGAGCCCTAAACCGTATAAAAGCACCCCCCCAACCCTAGCCTGCAAGAAGCCCCAAAACCATCCCAAACCTTAAGTCTTACGTACCAAAATTCTCAGCCTTGAAAGCCCCAACACCCGAAACCCCAAAACCAAACCCCTCAACACCCTTACAGGCGCCAGCCCCAAAGCCGAGGTGTCACGAAGCCCTTGTAGAACTTCTTGCGTAACCCTGCATGGGTTTAGGGTTCAGGGTTCACGAATCTTGCAAGACCTGTATGAAGCCCCTGATCCTCTCTCTGGTCCTAAACCCTAAACCCTAAACCCTTAGACCAGACCCTGCAAGCTCTAAGCCTCAAAGTGCTGGGAGTCCCATCAAAAGCCGAGGTCGTCGATTCTCGCAGCGCCTGCGGGATGCGCAAGCCGCCGCATCTCAGCGCGGTCGGCTGAGGTTTTAATGGGGTTTAGGGTTTAGGGTTTAGGGTTTCCCTTGTCTTTGGCGTTTTCCAGGCTTTGCTGTGGGTGCTGTAAGGGTTGTATAGGGGGGCTCAGAAGGATGTTTTGGGGTTTCGGGTTTAGAATCTACTTGGAGGTTCGTGGGTAGTTATAAGTGGGTTTATGAGTAGGGTAACTATACTCATAACCCATATTAGGGGACTTATAACCCTACTTATAACTACCCATGAACCTCCAAGTAGTGTGGCGTGGCTGTTTTGTGCGGTTCTTGGTTGGGGTTGACTTAACCCTAAACCCTAAACCCTAAACCCTAAACCCTAAACCCTAAACCCTAAACCCTAAACCCTAAACCCTAAACCCTAAACTTGACTTAACGAGCTTCTGCTCCAACTGCTCAGCAAAAACTGAAGTGCTAGACCCCAGAGCCCCAAAGCCCAACCCTTCACCCCTAAACCCCAAACCCTCAGTTTAGGGTTTAGGGTTTAGGGTTTAGGGTTTGGGGTTTAGGACCCTCAACCCTAAACCCTAAACCCGAAACCCAAAAACCCCAGAAAGCCGAACCCCGCCTTCCCGAAACCTTAACCCGAAGCGCTTCTCCTAGAATCCCCAAACTTCCCAACTTCAATCGGACGCCATAAAAAAGCTTTGCTATACAAGCCCGAAATCCCAGGGCCCTATACTAAACCCGTTTCGTAACCCTTATATTAATTGGGTTTAGGGTTTAGGGTTTAGGGTTTAGGGTTTAGGGTTTAGGGTTTAGGGTTTAGGGTTTAGGGTTTAGGGTTAACCCTTACAGAGCTCTTGAAACGAATTTTTTTGCGGAACCTTGCTGTAATTGTGAAGGGCCCGCTGGCACTCCCGAGCTGTTCAGGCCGAGAAGGCCGCAGCAGAGGGCCAGGCGCCGCCTGCACCCGGAAGTGCCCCTGGGGCTCCAGCCGCGGCGCCGGGAGGTGCACAAGCGCTTCGAGGGAGCTTTCAGGGGGGGTTATGAGCAGTAGTTCAGTCGTAGTGCTTGGAGGTTCATGGGTAGTTATATGTGGGGTTATAAGTAGGGTAACTATACTCTATACTTATAACCCAATAACCCTACTTATAACTACCCATGAACCTCCAAGTATTCCTTAAAGTTCCTCAGTGTAAGTACGCTGTACTATGCCCCATAACCCTGTAGGCCTTTATAGTGCATCATCCCTCTTGGCTGAATTATTGTTGCTGTTTGTGTTGCTCCTGCTGCTCAATTCTTCTTCGTGGTCTTCCTGGTTACAGGTTTTTGATACTCGGTGTTGTTCCGAGGGTCTCAGGTTCTAGAGGCTTCAGTTTCTTTGTTTCTGAGGGCCTTTTAGAGGCCCTTCAGGGTTGAGTGCCTCTTAGCTTTGGCCCAGGCAGATAAAATTGTCACAGGGGATTAAAATCTGAATCAGTAGTAATGCTGTTCCTGAGGGTTCCTCGCTATAAATATTCGTCAGTATATACCACAAAGCGTATTCTAGTTATCAAGGCCTTTGTATTAGCAAAACGGGCTCTACTGTTGCCTCGGCTTGTGTTTACTTGGGAAACCTCGCTCATGGGTGCTGGTGGGGAACGAGTCAAGCACAGTGTATTCTTGTTGGCTCAAGCGAGAGCCCCCGCACCCCAAATCCCTAAACCTGAAGCTTAACCTCATGAACCGCCTCGAAACCCATCAGGGTCAGGGAGCAGCGGGAGCTGCAAAGGCCGCTATCCGCCATGATATTTAGCTGTGCCTAATATAGGTGCCTAAATCATTACCTACAGCATTTTGGGGATTCCTTATTACAGTTATAGTATACTGGGCCCCAAAACCCTATTCTAATTATTAAGGCCCCTACATTACAGAGGTTACGACACTCTAAGCATCTCAACACCAACTCTTGAGCTACAGGGATTTTGGGGGTTTTAGTCTCATCACCGTACCGCTTCTGCCAGGCAAGGCGAAAGGGAAGTTGCCTCCCCCCGGCAAGGGCAAGAACCTTGGCTGCATAGACATGGTTCTAGAGTTTAGGGTTTAGGGTTTAGGTTCGGGGGCTTGACAGCTTGAGCCTTGGCCAAAGTTGATTATGGAGGCCCTCGTAGTTAACGTAGCCTTTCATTGCCAGCCGGTTCTCAACTTATGTTGGCACCGTCCCAGCACTTTAGAGTCCTTCCTTCGGAGGGAGAAGAATTCTATTCGTTCGTCATGGCAACCCAAGACCTCCAAAACCAAACCCGACAAGCCCATTGTTCTGGGTTTGCATCGGCTGTCCTGAGAGCTTCATGCCTTTCTTCTGCGAGCCTTGGGCACATCAGTCTGTCGGGTTTCGGGTTTAGGGTTTAGGCTTTGCCCTAAACCCTAAACCCTAAACCCTAAACCCCTACACCCTAAACCCTAAACCCCCAAAACCTTCTGGTTGAATGACTTAGCCCCACCCGACCTCAACACTGCAGCCTCAACCCGGAACCCCAAACCCTCCGCCCCGAAACTCTCCGAACCCCCAGCCCGAACCCTGGGTCCTCAATCCTCCACGAAGCTTGTACCCCCTAACCCTAAACCCTGAACCCTAAACTATTCCTGACCCCTAAACTCTAAACCTACTGCCCGTAGTAGTCTCTAACCTCCGCCCTAAACCCTAAACCCTAAACCCAAAACCCTGAAGCCTAAACCCTAAACCCTAAACCCTAAACCCTATAAGCCCTACACCCAATACACCCTAAACGACCAACCAAGGAAGGGCCCCGCAGCTGCGGCCCCCGCCGCCGAGGTTTCCGCCACTGTGAGAGCCTTGGAGGTTCTCTAGGGGTCTTCCAAAAAGGTTAGGGTTTAGGGTTT